TTCTTGAGACTAATCATTTTCCCAAATAATTCAGAAATACAACACTGCCATTGAAACTTCAGTGTTTCTTAATGAAAGGTAATCAGCTATATAGAAATTTATTGCATAAAGTTCAGATGGAGTCCCTGTATATTTCAGAAGATTTGCAAATTCATTGCAGTAAGTTCACAAACCAGTTGTTGCTGGGACCCATTCTGTTCGACTTATGCTGTGGCTTAGAATGACTTGTATAATTAGGTTTATGTAGATATGAAATTCATAAAGTAGCAACCCCCAAAAGCTTTTTGCAAATTGAGATCATCTTTTTTTCCCAGTAGCCCTAGATTAAAAAAAAAATTTAGAAGAATCTTAAACATATCCCATCCATGGAGCTAAGTACTCCTCAGTAGTGTTTATGTCTTTTGAGCAATTCATAATAAAAGTAAAGAACTTAAGATCTCAAAGGAAATTGAAGAAATCTAAATCTTTTCACCTAAGGGAAGATGAAACTGAGCAGAGAGCTTACGCAATTTGTCCTAGATGGTGGTGGCACAATTAAGACTGGAACCTAGTAGGCCTCTGAATTCCTAGTGCTTAGTAATAGCAGTTCATCCTCTGAATTACTACTACTGTGGTAAACTTGCTAGTTTTAACTCCAAGGCTTTGTTAACCAACAGCAAAGTTAAGTGATTTAATTGTGTATGGAGGAAGAGAGATGGTGGGCCCTGGCACAGTCTCCCTGCCTTCTCCACCCTGGAGTAGGCCCTAAACTCCTTTCTTTCTTCATCCTGGTGAGAATCTGTGATTCAGTGTCTGCATTACTAAGTAGGTGGTAATAATACTTAAATGGTGGTGGAATTGGTTTGAGGGGAACAATTAGGACAGTTACACTTACTGAAAAATATGCTCTTGATTGCCTGGGATAAAAGAGTCTAATGACTACTTCATGTTTTTACTACCTTATTTATTTATGTTTTAGTAATGGTGATATTCTAGTTAGTTGATCTTTTATCTTTCAGTTTGCAGTTTTCTGGTATACGGGATATTTCTTACCATGGTCTAGAAAAATACAGAAGAAAAACATTTGAACAAATCTGAGGCATTGAATGTTTTACAATTATTAGCAGCTTGATCAACTGAATCATATATATGGGTGACAGTATAAAAGTTGCTATAAAAGTTAACAGAGTTCATTCTTTGATTTAGCCTATTCATATTGTCTGTCTAGTGTTTTCCATCTCAGATAAAACAATTACGTATGTACCTAAAAGAAAACTAGGTTATTTTTCAAAATTATACAAACTTGTTAAAAAAGAAAAAGCAAATACTAGGTTTTCTTGAAAATCTAAAAGTAAAGGAAGAAAGTGAAAATAGCTTATAATTCCACAAGATAATCTTTACTGACTTCCTTTTTAAAAAACAAAGAGTAATGCTTGCAAGTGGTTAAAAAATTCCAACAGTACAGAAAGGTATAAAATGAAAAAGCCTTCTTTCTGCAACCCATACTCTAGAGGTAACTTGTTAACAGATTCTTGTGTATCCTTTTGGGGGAAAACTTTTTATGTATATTCCAGTCCAATTTACTCTCTCCTCTATACTTTGCTTTTTACTCCTAACATAGCTGTCTGTTTATCCAGATACATGTACTTATATATACATATATATTTTTTTTAGTATTTTTTTCTCAATTAACAGAAACAGAACTGTCTCATTGTTTTTAATGGATTAATAATGTTACATTGCTTGGAAAAACTATATTTCATTTCTAACTAGTTAAAGGATGGACTTAAATTTTTTCCCAACTCTTTGCTATAGACAACTTTATGGTGATACATGATATACATGTGTTTTGGTGTGCTGTTTTAGGCATATCAGTAGGGTAAGTTCATGTTGGCAAGATGATCTCCAGAATGCTTAAACTAACTCATACTTCTGCCAGTAATGTATGAGTGCATTTTAAGTACACTTTAATCCCCAATGTAAAAATTTTCTTTACTGCTTACATTTTATAATTTGAGCTTTTGCTAAAAATAGGTATTGCTACAAATGATTACCTGTTTAGCTTTAGTTTTATTTTTCCCCTCCTTCTTCCTTTCTAATTTACTGTAGTCATTAACGGTAGATGTTGCAGGTTTTTCTGGAGGGTATTGTTAGAGATACCAGTTCCTAATGTGACATAAATAAGAGTCTGACATGACAGATGACAACTTGCAGTCACATTTTTAAACATGCTTTGGATAGATGAAAACCATTTTAAAAAGAAAGAGAAAGTAAGGAGGAGAGAGGTAAAGATATATATATATCTTTTAACATAGTTGTTTCCATGGGAAGTATAGAAGGAATCAGATCCTAGGCTTTACCTTCACCACCCACCCTGGAACCTTGATCAAGTCAGTTTATCTCCCTGGGTTTGCTAATCTATAAAATGAGGTAGGTGGGGCAGGTTTTATTGTCAGGTTTATGATCAGGTAACCTTATGCATTTGAAAATATGTAGTGCTCTATGAACGTACGCTGGTTCTGTTGTTCTTTTAAATACCTAAATAAAAAATGCCCTCATTTCATACTAAAGTCTCCTGTATTATGATACTAAACTCATATTTCATTTGAAAGATAATCAGTTTGTTGGTTGGACAAAAGTAATGTTTACAGTATACACTATTTTCAAATGCCTGTTTTCAAGAAGCTCATCTTTGATTTAATTGGATATAATTAACTTTCAGGAAACCGATCTCCCGTCTTCATCAAAATGATACAGTAGAATTTAATTTTGAACATGGAATACTAAAATATGTATCTATAGGCAAACCATTCCTACTTCCCCTCCCCCAGTTCTAATCTAGATATACCATCCATCAAATCACGGTTTTAAAACATTCTGGTATGTCTTACATAATATGATTAGTGCTATCTTTGAGCACTGAGTGTTCTACCTTATGCCAGCTATACTTACAAATGCTATCAGTCCTCTAAACATTTGGTATCTTAATAAATGGAAGATATTTCAGGCCTTTTTCAGAACATTAAAGTGGTAACTATTTACCAGTAAAACAACAATCAGTGTGGTGTCTATTGGCATTTAGCGTAGTCTGAGGCGTCTTACAAATACAAATACAGACACCGGTAGCAATTCAGTATCTCTGTTATTGCCAATATCTAATAACATCAGTGAAAATGTACCTTTTATTCTTCAGTAGAATAACTTATTTTTAATCAGCCTTTTTAATCAGAAGATTGTTAAGCGGAATAATTATTGAAGTGTTCAAAAAGAACCAAATGCTCAAAGAGCTATTTCTTTTTAGCTAATTTGAAAGAAGTCCTGGGTTCTTTTTGTTCATGCCATGCAAACCAATTTCAGAAGTTTACTAAAAAGGAAAAACAGCATTGTAAGGCTACTCTGTGGCTAGTGAACCTGGGACCAGATGAAGATAGTCATTAACTTTGCTGTAGCCTTGAACAGAGGTTGTGCTTAAACTTAGGAAATAAAGTATGAAGTAGAAGTGGATTAATATTTGAAAATACTGATTTGCTGTGTAATAATTTGTGTGGTGGTTAAATCTATTTTGAGGTAGAAGTGTATAACTGATCAAAAGATTTTAAGCAAGCTAAAAACCCTTTTTATGGTTACATTCTTTGTTACCCTGCTCTACAGCTTCCCATTGGAGGAACCAAATTTAACAGTAGCACTGTTTTCACTCTGTTGTGGCAGGGTAACTTTTAAGTAAAGATGGTGGTGTGACACTTGAAAATATATAATACTGAATACTGTTGGTCTTTTGTTAGAATGAGACAATGCTGTAGGCAAGAACCATTCTTTCGTAAGAATTAAAAGGAAAAAATAGGACCCTTGAAAAAGTATGCCTCAAAACAATCTAAGTCACCACGTGGACTCTAGAATGGCATACTTATTGCAATAGCATAATGTGGGCAGTTTTCAAAATGGACTTTTAACACCTTATAAGAATTTGTCTTAGATGCCTAGCTTTTGAAAAATCGGGCACTTTGCTCATTTCAATTTTGTTCTTGCCTCTCTGCCCCATTTCTTAGTAGAAAGAAGGAAAACACTAGAATATCTCTTATCTTTTTGCTAGTGCTTTTGGACTTCCAGCATCTCTGACTTCTAATGAGCATGAAATAGATAGCTTGAAATGAATAGGCAAGGTTTCAGTTATAAAGTTTATGTCATTTGAGGCATCTTTTGAATTTCTATTATTGAATTTGTAGGAGTTGACGTTTGCAGATGACTTGTTTATAATTGTGAATTAACTGAATTAAGATAAAACACAGCCACAGACTGTCAAGTGGTGATAACACTAAAATAAGTTGCTAACAATTTTATCTTTAAATTTTCCAGATGCTTGTGGTTAAATTTATGAGAGGTAGAATGGTACAGTAGAAGGAACATTATAATTGGGAATCTTTGTGATCTTCCATTAGATAACCTTCCCAGATTTGAGCTTGAAAGGTTGTTAATTCTGTGGTAATTTCTAAGTATGTTTTGTGTTAGTGAAGTTAACCTAATGTACTGTCTGGTGCTGAAGTAACACTTAAATTTTTCCTTCCGCTTTCTTACAACGAAATTTTTATTTTAAACAATGTTTTAAATTGTTTCTGCCTCCCTTCTCACACTCATTTTAAGCCAGAGACCAGCTTGATAACAAACCTTGGGTTTTCCCTGTATTGATAAGGAAATAATATTTTAGAGAATTCCAGGATCTAGAATCATATCTCTTGAACCACATATATTATGAGATACATGTTTGCCTTTAAAATCTGAATCTAATTCCACGTTATTGTCTTTGTTTCTAGATTTAGGAATGTTTAGCTTTTTCTCTATGTTTAAGTTAACATAATGTCAGAGAAGGGATTATATGGGAAGTTTTAGTTTGTCTTAGACAATTCAGACATTAAAACGTAACTATAGTTTTTGGTGTTTATATCAGTCATTGAATAATTCCTGTAATGTTTATAAAGATTTACTACACAAAGTTGCTAATGTTTGTTCTTTTCTCCCCCACTCAGCCATCTGTTGAGTCTTCAAGTCCAGGTAAGTATTTTCTATATTTTTTATAATCTCTTTTCGACTAACATTTGGCCTATTAGTTACATAAAGGTTAGAGGAGTTAGACTATCATCTGACTTGCTTTTCTTCTGAATGCTTCTTTTCTCTGGGGAAAAAGAAATGGATGAAATATTTGACTGCCCATGAAGGTACAGGTGAGGCTGCTGTGAGTTCAACCTGTGACTATTTGTGGGTTTCTTCTCTCTCTCTCTTTCTCTCCCTCTTTTTTGTTTAATGAATTGCCACATGTATTTTGTGTAGTTTTTTTTTGCTGTTTGATTTGAAGTATATTTGAAGTGTATTTTTAAAAAGGAAACATTAACTGCTTTGATTGTATATGAAACTCAAAGTCTTTGAGAAAAATACTGTTAGCGCATATAATGAGAGGGAAAGGTAAAATAAAAGATTCAACAAATGAGTGTTGTTGTAAATTAAGAAAGTTATTTTTAGATTTTATTATTTGTAGTATCAGGCTTCTGTCCAAGGAAATGTTTATTGTTTTAAGTAATAATAATTGTAGGCAATTAAGAAAAAATTAGGAATAAAAACTTAATGTAAAAAAATTTTTGGTCCATTGGTGAAAGGCTGTGTCCTTTGTAACATCTGTACTTTGGAATTGATGCTAATAATAGTAGTCATGTGACCCAGGCTAAATGGTTTGTCTATAGACTCCACCAATGTAAGCCAGTTACATCTAGTAGCCATTAGAGGTGAGGATTTAGGGGAGGGAAGGTAATAAAATGATTAAATCAGTGCACGTGATGTATTATAAACTGAATTTATCTTTTGAGTCTTTGCAAAGATGTAAGGTACTTTTTAGTGATTTTGCAGTAGGATGGAATTCTATGACGAAACAGTGATATATTAGCCTTAACTCTGAAGCAAAATACTTACACAAAGCACCAGACTCCCTAACCCTAATAATTTACTTTTGGGATTCTTTTCCCTAGGAGATAGCCTAATCTTGGGCCTTAGTAATTAACAGAAAGGAATAGGATGGTTAGTTGGTCTCAAAGAACAAGGTAAAAAGAAGTCAACTAAAACAAGGGTGAAGAAAAATAATAGCAACATTTGTAGGAATACATAATTATCGACCAAGTGTCCTAGAAGATTGCTGTGTGAACCGAAAAGTTTTGGGACATTTCCATTGAAAACTCAGAAAGAAGGAATAATGATCGGGACAAAGAAGCAACAACTAAATTAGTGATTCTCAAACTGCTCTTACAGAACCCTTGTGTCTAGTCCCTCACCTAGTACTAAGGTCCCTCACCTAGTACTAAGATCCCCTACTAAAATTATGCCACATTCTTCTTAATTTCCAGAAGAAATTAAAGTAATATGATTTCTTAAGTGTTTTTATTTTATAAATCATTCTAAAACTCTGATAACTCATTTGTATTATAACAAGACAATACTTGATTTAGCAATTATATATTTAGTTATTTTATATTTAATATCAATATTTTGTTACGTTCCTCAAAGAGCATACTGACTTCTCAGTGCTTTGCCATCTGACCTAGCTTGCAGTTCACTCATCTCTGTGAACATAGGCTCTTTTCAGGTATTCTTTGAGGCAGAATATCTACTGCTTCTGAAACTCGGGCTTACCGGAGCCTTGAAGCACAGTAAAAGCAAAGGCATTGGAATTGGCAGAACCAGGATTAAAATTCCGTTCTAGGCACCTACTGGCTCTGTGAGTTTAAACGTGCTACTTAAACTCTCTGAGCCTCAAGTTTTTGTTTTCTGTTCATAGGATTGTTTGAAGATTAAATGAGATAATGTATGTGAAGTGCTTAAGCATAGTATTTGGCACATAAGAAAATATTGTGAGGTAACAAGAACCCTGGAGTCTTGGTGCCCCTTATTCCTAATTGTCTGATTTTTCAAGAAATCAGCCTCTATATCTCTTTGTTTACTTATTGGTTTTCTTAATGGAGTGAAATAGAAGGGTAGGTATATCTATTAATATAACCTTTAACACTTTAAATTGATAAAAATTAATTGCTAATTGTTTTTGGTTTTTTTAGTGTTAAGTAACTCATTTGTTTATTAGTTAACAATGCTTTTGTAAACTTAAGTTCAGGTTTGGCAATAGCCAAATGTGGGGATAGTTTATAGACTATATATGCCCAGCATTTGCTATCTCCTATTACAAGTTTTGACCCTGTTGACTACAGTGGTATTCTCCAGCCACGAGGCTAAAAATAGATTAGCTTATACAAGTTACCTACTGGATTATTTTTAATGCCTTTCATAAGAATTTTGTATGTAATTTTAATAAACTTTACTTTTTATACTCTGTCTTTGAGTTATTTCAACTAAGTAAGTTAAGGACAGCTACCTTTATATTAGAATATATTTTCGTGGATATGTGATAAAATAATATTTGAGTTCAGCTGTATTTTCATTAGACTGTGTATTCAGATGATTGTGTATTTCACATGACTATATTCATACTCATTGGTTCTATTAAATATCAATCAATTGATTACGAATTGACTTTTCTCACACAAAAGATCATTCTTATTTGATATGACCATTTATTATTTACAACTCACGTTTTGTTGGAAGATTACAGTACTCTTCAAACATTCCCCCCACCTCCTCCCCGTTTTGCGGTTGTCACTGTAAATATATAGAAGTGAAACAGGGTAAAAAATAATCCTTACAGAAGATATTTTGTTGGGGGTGATAAGTAAGGGCAAGAATTTTAGAAAACAACAAATAATACTTCCTGTGCATAGCTTTTTGTGCATAGCTTTTCCCTCGTACTTTTACTTGACATATCCAGCTTCAGATAACATATACATTAAATTAATATTAATAAGGTACACATAATTTGGTTTACCAAACTGTTTAAAATATTCTTTACCAGGAGGTTCAGCAACATCAGATGACCATGAATTTGATCCATCAGCTGACATGCTGGTTCATGATTTTGATGATGAACGCACATTAGAAGAGGAAGAAATGATGGAAGGAGAAACAAACTTCAGTTCTGAAATAGAGGATCTTGCAAGGGTAAATAACAATAAGAGCTAGAGAATGAAGTGGTTATAACTTTTTTGTGGAGAGAGGAAACACTAAATTTTAGTTCTCTACTTTATTTTGGGGAAAGTGGTATTATATATAATCAATACTGAAAAATTTTATGTGGTCATAGGTGGGATAATTTAAAGTTGGAAATTTTTTGAAAAGAACTTTATTATGTGAATTAGAATTCACATGGTAAAACATCACAGATATTGGGTCAAAAATATATAAAAAAGGGTACTAAATTTCCTCTTGCATACCTTCTGCCTTCCCCCAATTACTGCACCTTTTATTTACTCCCCTTCAGAAGCAAAACTTCTTATGAGTTGTCATCGTCTTCCTCATTTCCCGCTTACTCCATAAAGTGCTCTAGATTGTCTCTGCCCCTTTCCTATCAAGATAACCAGTGATTTTATTGTTACATCCTTCGGTCGCTTTTTTCCCTACTTAACTCTCAGAGGTATTAACACAATTTACTATTCCTTCTTTTTTTTGAATTTTAGAGCACCCACTGTCGTTTTCCCGATCTCCTTATTCCTCTTCAGTGTCTTTTGTAGACTGGTCTTGCTTTCCTCAAGGATTAGATTCGGAATTTCCCAGTTCTCAGTTCTGGGTTGTGTTTTCTTCTTTCTGTAGATCAGTGCTCCTCAGAATACAGTATGAGGGTCAGCTGCATCAGAATAACTCATGGACTCACTAAGAAATGTGCATTTGTATGCCTCTCTCCCAGGCACACTGAATCAGAATGCGGGGCGGGGGGGCTCAAATCTACATCTTCACTAAGTGTGCACACCAAGTTTACACACTGCTAAGCTAGGTGGTTGATCTCATTTAATCCCATGGTGTCTGTGTATGCTCAGTATTTCTTAGTTATTTTTCTAGCATTAACCTATTCTCTGTCTCCAGTTTTGTTTATCTAACCACCTGCTTGACATTTCTGTTTGGATATCTCAGTAGACATCTTTACATTTTAAATGTCTAAACAGAATTATTGATTGATGTTCTCCTTCCTCTGCCTGTTTCTTCCCTGTATTCTCCATCTCAGTAGAAAATGGTACTACTATTTACCTTGTTGCCTGAGTCAGAAACCAGGGAGTCATCTTTCTTCATTCCCAATATCCATTCCTAAATAAACCTATCATTTCTATCCAGACATATCTCTTATCTGGCTCTTGTTCCATCTCTGCTGCTACCCTCAAGCCCAGGTCACCATCATTTTTAGCTTAGACTATTACAGTAGCTTCCTAACTGGTTTTTCATGTCCTCTTTTACCACTCTTCTCTCCAATATATTGCCACAGCAACTATGATGATCTTTTCAAAATATAAATCAGTTTATATCAGCCTTCTATTTAAAAAACTCTTCGGTGGCTTCCTGTTACACCAGAAGAAAATCCAGACTCGTTGCGGTGGCCAGCAAGGCTACCTACATGATATGGTCCTTTATCCCTTTATTACACTAGTTGTATAGCTACACTAGTTGCTTTTGTTCTTAGATGTGCTGGGTTTTTTTCACACTTCAAGGCTTTTCAGCTCATTCCCACTCTCTGGTATGTGCTTTTTGTGTCTGGCTCCTATCCTCTCAAGTCTGGGCTTAATATTCCCTCCTCAGGATGGCCTTTCCTGGCCCCTAATCAGCTTTTTTAAACCACTGTACCCCATTCAATGCTTGCTTTATACCTAACACAATTTGTAATTATATGTTTGTTTAACTTTTTTGTCTGTATTCTTTAGTTCCATGAGAGGTGGGATAGTCTGTTTTATTCACCAATGTATTTCATGGCACCTAGCAAGAGTGGTCACCCAGAGTTTTTGAATGAATGAATAAATCAGTTTGGTATGCTATCATTGAAAGGTATTATGTATGTAATCTGCTGAACTCCATGATAAGAAGAACATAAGAAAAAAGACATAAGCCAGCCTTTAAGCATTTGGAGTACATAATGTCATCGAAAAATGAATTCTTACACTTTACAGTGGTAAAGATTAATCTATGTTTCAGAATTTTAGTTTAGAACTTTTTTTTTTTTTTTTTTTTTGCGGTATGCGGGCCTCTCACTGTTGTGGCCTCTCCCGTTGCGGAGCACAGGCTCCGGACGCGCAGGCTCAGCGGCCACGGCTCACGGGCCCAGCCGCTCCATGACATGTGGGATCTTCCCGGACCGGGGCACGAACCCGTGTCCCCTGCATCCGCAGGCGGACTCCCAACCACTGTGCCACCAGGGAAGCCCTAGAACTTTTTCAAGTGTACAGTTAAGGAGCTGGAAAAGTAGTATTATTAAGTCAAATCTTGTCACATGATCCCATTTTGAATCATTTAGTGATTAAAACTGGCTTAATCCATAATACCTAAGCAATTCAATATTTTATTAAGCCAGACAACAGAATTGATCTTAGTGGTAATGGTGTAGGGCTGTTATAAAAGCTTTTCAAGGATGAGTTAAAAAGAAAACGAGGAATCTGGAGTCAGAACTATTCTTTATAAGAGGCTGGAAAGCCATTCAAAAAACTGGGATAATTTGCTTGGATGATTCAGAACCTAGGTGAACATCAGAGGAAACGATTGATTTAACAATCAGTCACAGTGGCTTCATATATTCATGAAGTGGAAATGCAATTATTTTTAGTTATTTGCCTGTATTTCACAGAAACTTATCACTTTAGATATATTTTCTTTTTTCTGAATAACCCATCCATGGGATAAAGGGTAAAGGAAGAAAATCTTATATTTTCCATTTTTTCACATTCTGTGTTAGTCAAGTAATTAAGTAATTACTCAAGAAGAGATAATCAAGTACAGGTGAAAATAGGTTATGAAGTGGAATGATTGTTTTATTTCAGAAAATTGGCTGCTGTATTTAATTAGTACAAAATTACTAATGGGCTTCACTAAAATTTTGGTCGTGTTATGGTCTTTTCCTATTTTCTCCTTTATTCTACCTCCTTCCCCAGTCCCTTACAACCCCCCAAAATTTGCTTTCAAATGACCCTTTTTTAGGAAAAAGTAATTAAAATATACAAAGGGAGAGAAAGACAAGGGAACCAATCTTTTATCATTCTTTTCATCCAGACAGTCTTAAACCTTCTCAGAGAGTACTTATAACTTTTCCCAAAGTAATTAAGGCTTAGGTGTAAGTAGCACATAATCACCAGTGCTTTCATCTGTAGCCTAGAGCTAAGCTACACGGCCAATGTATTGGATTTCCTATAGTTGTAAACTCTTTAGGTCCAAACCAAACTGGTTTTTGTTTTTATTGAAAAGGTGAGCAAGATTTTGTCATTGATTACTAATTTGCTTCTATAGAAGTGAAACATCATAGTTGTGTAAGGAATTGGTAAGGTAGTTTATGCCTGGCACTTTGGTTGCATGAAATGGACCTTTGATGTAATTGGGGCAAAATTTTGACAGTTGATTCATTCAGGAGTTATCAGTAACTGCAGTAACCTGTAGTTTTAAGTTCATTCAATATGAATTCTAAACTTTCAGTGTAAACTAGCTTTTATGTGTATTGTTATGTTTGTATGCATGAATCTTATCAATATAAAATGTTTTAGGTAAGTTTAGCATTTAAATGTTTTAAGAGAATTAGATGTACAGGTTAGAATTTATTAGTGATCTTAGAAGTGTCAGAATCATTCCCATAGTAAACTTTGGTTTGCTGGGAATGGCAATATGCAGGTTTAACTCTGTTTTTCAAATGCACTCTTAAAACCCATGGTCTCACTTAACAGTAGCAGAGGGATCAGGATCAGCTATATCTTTATGTATTTATAGTTTTGAAAATCACCTTATAACAGTGTTAATAATTAACACTTTAAAGTGCTAGACACATTTCACCCAGTGGATCTCCAGAGCTAGAGAATAAAGATTAAAATGTGAGAGATTGAGGTTTGTTTTTAAGTGTACACACCACATGAATTATACATATAAAAAAAAGAAACTCCAGCATGGAGATTATAAAGAAGAGTTCACTGCCTTCATCTCTTCATAGTTTATTCTGTAGTGAAGCCCCAGCCCCAAGAGGTTGGTTGCCTTAGGAACCAGCACTCTTGTCCAATCTGGATGTGGTCTCTTAAGCCTTCCTGGCTGAAAATCAGTCTCTTTCCTTCTTTCTCCCAACTTAATAAGTATTTACTGGTAAGTCACAACAGGTATAAAAAGAGTACTGTGTCCATCCACCAAATGGCCCTTCATTGGCCAACACCTGGTACCACGGGCAGTCATTGCTAAATGACTAATCCCCTGGTGTGAGGGAGAGGGAGCCACCTCCTGTGCAGCTAGGAAACGGATACCACTCCAACCTTATAATGCTGCTGGTGGTGCTTGGTAATGTTACCCTATTGTTGTGAAGTTTAAGGACAGATTTAATTTCAGATATAATGTTTGTCTTTGAAAAAGTCTATATTCTTTCCACCTCCAGCTAGTCTCCGGTGAGCTTATATAGACATGATTGTCCCTCTTTTTGTTACAGTGCTTAGACAACTTATTTTTTTAAAGCACAATATGTAGGTATAGTCCACATGGCTGATTTTTATTCATCTTGTACTATGTCCATTTTCCTTCTTATAGTCTATCAACTTCTTTCCTTACTTTCCCTTACTTCTTATAGTCTATCAACCCAGCACATCTTATTTCACTCTCCATCAGGATGATGTACACTTAACCTAGGATCAGGTTTTTTTTTTTTTCCTTGCGTTATGCGGGCCTCTCACTGTTGCGGCCTCTCCCATTTGCGGAGCACAGGCTCCGGACGCGCAGGCTCAGCGGCCATGGCTCACGGGCCCAGCCGCTCCGCGGCATGTGGGATCTTCCCGAAACGGGGCACGAACCCGCGTCTCCTGCATCAGCAGGCGGACTCTCAAGCACTGCGCCACCAGGGAAGCCCTAGGATCAGGTTTTGAGGAAGGGAGTGTATATGCATATGTATGTAAGGGCACTGTAAAGCAGTGAGTCAGACTGTACTACTTACTCAGTGTGTAACTTTGGGCTAGTTACTTAACATTATTAAGCTTCAGTGTTACTACAAGGATGATATATGTAAAACATTGAGCACAGTGTCTGGTACATGATAATCACTCAGTAAATCTTAATAGTTATTCATAAAATTCTCAAAGAAATCTGTAACACCCGAACAGTGGAGAACCACTGTACTTGACTCATAATTTTCTTTCACTCTGCTCCTTCCATTTCTCAACTCTTGTATGAATGGGAACAAAACACTCTGACACTTTATTGTGATGTTTCAATTTGGGGAAAGCCCCTTAGTACCTGGTAGAACATAGACTTCAACAATATAAGCTAATGAGAAAGTCTCTGGAACAGGTGACTGATGGGCCCTAATATAATGTACTGTCAGCCACATTTTATTCATCTTTTAGGTTTTTTTTCAGAGGGAAATAGCAAAGAACATTTGCTTTATGGGATAGCATTACTTTTTTTTTTTGAGTTTTTTTTTTTTTGGCTGCATTGCGTCTTCATTGCTGTGCACAGGCTTTCTCTAGTTGCGGCGAGTGGGGGCTACTCTTCGTTGTGGTGTGTGGGCCTCTCATCACGGTGGCTTCTCTTGTAGAGCACGGGCTCTAGGCGCACGGACTTCAGTAGTTGTAGCACACGGGCTCAGCGCAGTCTCTAGAGCGCAGGCTCAGTAGTTGTGGCGCACGGGCTTAGTTGTTCTGCGGCACGTGGGATATTCCTGGACCAGGGCTCGAACACGTCGCCTGTATTGGCAGGCAGATTCTTAACCACTGCGCCGCCAGGGAAGCCCAGCATTACTTTTTATATCAAATATTTGGGGACAAATAACAGGAATCCGTCTTGAACTAGCTTAGGCAAAATGAAGATTTAGTTGTAAGGCTTGTGTTAATTTCATTAAGGGCAGGGGGATATCTAGACCTCACGGACACAAGTGCTACCAGAACATATTTTCTATTTCTGCTTTTTTACATGGTGGTGTCCTTTTTCAGACTAATTTTCTTCATATCTTGTCAGTTTTCAGGCTCCTAGATTTATTGCTTGAGATAATAGCCTATATTCTTTAGCTGCTGCTATTGGTAAAATTCTGGAAACAAATTATGGTCCACCTTGGGTCATGTGCCCATTCCAAATGCATGGCCAGGGAGTACAGTGATTCTAATTGGGTTAGATACTATGAGGTCCATGAGGTAAGCTTTCAATCAAAATACATGCTTGGAATGGAGGAAAGAACACTTCTGGAAAAAGATGCGTGTAGAAGAAAGAAAGAAAGGATTGGGTAGCAGACAACAAGATACGATACTTGAATTTAAAACTGGGGATTCCTCAGCAAAGTTAATTTGAGGTTTTACTGTAGTTGTAGCCCAGTGTTTGCTGTAAGGGCATCACTTTATACCTTAGATCAAGTAAGATATTTTTCTTACTATGTGGGTCATGATTGTTGCTTACTGACTTGTTGCTTACTAACTTGATATTGGGCAACAGAAATTAAAAGTCAATTCCAAAGAAAAGCATAATACCACTATATAGTCTTTGTTTTCAATATTAAGAATTTTCTTGATGGAATAGGCAAGGATATTTTGTTTACACATGATAAAACCCACCTAAAACCGACTTTGACTGAAAATAGACTTTTTAGAAGTTTGTTAGAACTTCTTTAGAACTTTATTATTTTTATTATTTTTTCGGTGTCATACGAATATGTATCTGGGTCCAAGGAATGTCTGGAGCCAGAGATTCAGTGTCACAAGGACCTCTTGATCACTCTTAACCCATGGTTAAATCTGTTGATTCCTTCTGCAGGGTCTCTTGAGTTTTTTCTGTACCACAACCACTAATTTGGTTTAGGCTCTGATTATACTCATATGAATAACAGTGGATTCCAACTTAGCAAACTAAATTTCTCCCTGCCTAAGTCCATCTTGAATATTTTGTTGTGTGCATAATTTTCCCTAAGCTGTTCCATAGGGTCAGTCACTGTTCATCAGCTACTCTCAAATGAATCAAAAGGTCAATCACTGTTGAACAGCTACTCTCAAATGAATCAAAAGTAGAGTATAACAGATCCCTTTAGAAACTAAGTAAAACTAGAGAAAGTAGGTAAAAATACCAGCCTTAACTTTTTTTGGTTACTACAGATACCCTCTATTCTAATCAGGATAACCTGCTTATTTGTTGTTTGTTTCTACGCTTGCGCAGTTGTCATTTCCTTTGACTTTTCTCTCTTCCAGTTCTGTTACTGTTTTTCAGATTCAAGCACTTCTCTTCCAAATGCACTATGATCAGCCGCTTCTGACTCTATTCTGTTCGCTGCTTAATCAATATTGGAGGTGTTGCTAAATTTTTCTTTGAGAAATGAATTTTTATAAAGCAAGTCACACTTCTCAGATGTGTATCCAAGAGGGAAAAATCTTGACCTCACCATGGAAGTCAGATATTCCACTTACCTGAAAATGGTTAAAAAAAAAAAAAAAAATCTTTTCATGCAGTTGGTGTATCACTCACCCTTTTGACACGTAACTTAGCTATCTATCAGCTGTTAGTGATAAGCTTTATTAAAGATAATGATTGCACTTTATTACCTCCCACTGGAAAGGCTGATTTGCAGTTATCTTATCCTAGAACTGTGAGATAAGTGGTTCTCCAGGTGGTCTCATACCAGCAGCATCAATATCACCTGGTACCTTAAAAAATGCATATACTCAGGCCCCACTTCAGCCTTACTAGATCAGAAACTTTGGGGTGGGGTTCAG